CCCCCAGATCAGAAGTGATCTGTACGAAGTGCCCATGTGGTGTCTGATTCACAAGAGGTACTCAAGAGATGTCATTTCCTCTGTTCCCGGTCATTCCCCCTTCTCTTGCCAGACCACCTTGGATGGCATTGGAAGAATGTTAGAGCAGAGATACTGACTTTCCTCCCTCTCTGGAAAAGAAGTCCAATTAATTATCACTCCCCAAACCACTTCATCCTGTAATAATCAGGGGAAGGACACCTGTTGAGAGGCAAAGATTTGGCTGGTGATTGAGATGGGACCTGGGGACCAGAGCTGCAAGGCTACATCTGTGCTCACGATATAACTTGCACAGTATTCACTAGTATTCACAGAACCTGAGTGAGACAGCAAAGTAGCAGGACAGTCACCAGATTTGTTGAAGAAAAATGGATAATAAAGAGGATTATTGCAATCCACTCTAGAAATCCAATCAAGAATGTGTGTCCCTGGAGAAAAAGGAACCCTCTTGCGCTGTTGGTGGGAAAGCAAACTGGTGCAGCCACTCAGGAAAACAGTATGGAGTTTCCTCAAAAAGTTAAAAATAGAACTACCCTACGATCCAATTATCACACTACTGGTATTTACCCAAAGAACACAAAAATGCTAATTTAAAGGGATACATGCACCCTCATGTTTATAGCAGCATTATTTACAATAGCCAAGATATGGAAGCAGCCTTAGTTTCCATCCATTAATGAATGAATAAAGATGTGGTAGACGCGCGCGCGCGTGCACACACACACACACACACACACACACACTCACACACCTGGAATATTACTCAGCAATAAAAAAAAAAAGAATGAAAGCTTGCCATTTTCAATAACAGGATGGACCTACAGAAGATGATGCTGAGTGAAATCCATCAGAGAAAGACAACTACCGTGTGATTTAATGCATATTGTATTTAATGTGGAATTTAAGAAATAAAACAAACGAGCAGAGGGGGAAGAAAGGAGATAGAGAGGGGCGAACCAAGAAACAGATTCTTAACAAACTGAAGGTTACCAAAGGGGAGGGGGTGGGGAGAGGAATGAAACAGGTGATGGGGATTAAGGAGCACCTCGTCATTATGAGCACTCGGTGATGTACGGAAGTGTTGAATCACTGTATTGTACACCTGAAACTACACCTGAAACTATTGTATGTTAACCAACTGGTATTAAATTAAAAACTTAGAAAAATGTGTGTTCCTTAGAGCAGCCGAAGGTCAAAATCACCATCCTCTTTGATGGTCTCATGGGCTCAAAAAGATGAGGGTGAACTATGGGGAGGTCAAGAGGAAATTCTATGCACTATTTGTCAAGGCATAGCTTGTGTCCCCCCTGCACGGTAATGGTCCATCTGGGTGCTAGTCAAAAATATGCAGATTCCTGGAAGGCACCCAGTTTTGCTGACTCAGAATTTATAGCTGTGGGGCCTGGGAATATAGCTGCAACAAGCACCATTGGGCATTCCTGTGCACATGTAGGTTTGTGACGCCCTACCTATACCAACAATGTGTGCTGCTGGGGACGGATCAGTAGCTGCTGTTTAGGACACCCCAGAGCAGAGTCCCCTGTTGGGCTGGGCTGGAGGCTGGCAATGCTGTTTCTTAATGACCGGGGCAATCCTGCAGCCTGGCAGCTGGGAAAAGCCAGCCTGAGTGGCGGCTGCTGGAGAAAGAGTTAAGGGGAAGAGGTACTTTGAGCAAAATTAGCAGTCATTCAAGCAGAGGGTGGGGTCAGGGCCACCAGCCAACTCTGCCACTGCAGGTATTGCTTGATGGAAGGGGCTGGAAGGGGGCTCTTTCCGGGGGAGCACTCCAAAAGCAGGCCTGAGGTCCAATGAGGGGTTTTTCAGCACCTGGGACTGGGCCTTCTGTGGAGTAAGTCTGAGGCTTGGCATGAGCATTATATTCCCCTAACTACTGCTTCCCCATCATTATTATCCCCACATACTTCATTTCCTTACCTTTTTTTTTTAATTTTCCCTGTAATATTTACCACTACTGACACTATATTAGATATGGATTTGTCTACATTTTGTCCCATGCTACTATATAGGCCCCAGAAAAGCACTTTGCCCATGTTTTAAAACCTGGAAGTTTTAAAACTTAGAAGAATGTCTGGAACATAGTAGGCACTCAACTGGTATTTACTGAAACCACAAATGAACATTCTGCACTTCATGTCCCATGAGCATAATGGGGCTCACAGAAAAGTCTGCCTGGAAATTTCCCTACAGGCTGAAGACTTCATTTGTTTAGGGATTTATGAGCCAGAGGGCATGATCTGAGCTTAATAACCCCAAAGTGCACTGATTATTTTGCTATGTCACCAGGGAATGTGCCTTTTGCAGGTCTGTTTCCTCTGTACCCAGCACAGTGCCTGACACATATACCCATACTCAAGACTGAGCACATGCTCATCAACTGGTGATATTCTTTCCCAGAGTTTCTGGCTACCTACCTAACCCTAGACTCTCTTCTTTATCTTGTTGTTTCCCAAGAAGGGTGACCTGGCCTCAAGGCCTAGCATAATCACTGTCCTCCTAAAAGGAGCTCCACTTGGCCCTGTGGAGCCTCTCAGATGTGGGGACAGAGCGACAGGATGTGGGTGTGGCAGGGCCTTGTCAGCGTAGCCTAGGGTTTCACTGGGGTCACCTTGAGTGCTCGGTGATCACATCAGTTCCTGGGTCCTATCTGAGGTCTACCCCATTGGACTTTTGTAGGCTAGAGTCTAAAAAATCTACATTTTTAACAAATTTACCAAGGTGATTTTGATGTATGATTTGTCAGTCATAATAGTTAAGAACTTTGAGCTTCAGAGTCTGAGGTGTTAGGTTCAAAACCAGCTGCCAATACTAACTGTTCAAAGCCTCCATAAGCATTCATTTCCTCACTTAAAAAATAGCGATTAATAAAAAGTACCTATCACCGACCGTTGACTAAGATGAGCAAATCTGAACTAAGATGAAACAAATAACCTGAATAGTCCTATTTTAAGAAACTGAATTTGTAATTTAAAAGTTCCTAAAAAAGAAATCCCCAGGCCCAGATCGTTTCCCTGAAATATTTTACCAAACATTTAGAGAAGAATTAACAGCAGTCATATACAACTTTTTCCAGAAAAAAATAAGAGATAGGAGTATTTCCTAATTCATTTTGTGAAGCCAGTATTATCCTGATACCTAAACCAGACAAAGGGAGTAAAAAAACAAAGCAAAAAACCCTCCAAGCCCACTGCAGACCAGTAGTCACTCAGAACTTGGATGCTAAATCCTCAACAAAATATTAGCAAACCTAATCCAACGATGTCTAAAAATTATACACTATGTCCAAGTGGGATTTATTCCAGGGGTATAAGGCTGGTTAAACATTTGAAAATCAATTAATGTAATCCGCCATATGATCAAGCTAAAGAAGGAAAATAATATGATTATATCTGTTGACCCAGACAAAGCACTTGACAAAATTCAACAACACCCACTTCATGGTAAAAAAAATTCTTGGGAAGTTAGAATGAGAAGGGAACACCCTCAGCTTGATAAAGAACATCTACAAAACACCTACAGCTAGCAGCATGTTTAAAGGCCAAAGGCTGAATGTGTCCCCCCTAAGATCAGAAACAACGTATCAATATTGAACATTGACATTCTGGCCATTGAACAAGGCAAGAAAAGGGAAAAAAATGGTATCCAGATTGGGAAGGAAGAAATAAGACTGTCTCTATGCACAGATGACAGAAATAAAATAAAGTAAAGATAGGGACAGCCCGGGTGGCTCAGTGGTTTGGCGCCGCCTTCAGCCCAGGGCCTGATCCTGGAGTTCCAGGATCGAGTCCCACATCAGGCTCCCTGCATGAAGCCTGCTTCTCCCTCTGCCTGTGTCTCTGCCTCTCTCTCTCTGTCTCTCATGAATAAAGGATGGATGGAATAAAGGAATAAATAAATAAAATCTAAAAATAAATAAATAAATAAAATAAAGATAAATTGAAAGCACTCAGTCTGTAAAGTGAAATGGAAAAATGGTACACCCAACATGGTTAATGGCTGGTGGTAAGAGCTTAAGAAGTACAAAGCTACTCTCTGATGATGATGATGATGATGGAGGAAGAGGAAGATGAGGAAGAGAAGAAAGAATCTTAATAACCTCCGGGAAAGGTGATTGTGCAGCCCCTTGAGAGGCACATTCCCTTGCTTAGCTACTCTGACAGCGGAAGCCCTCCAGTGTGTCTGCTTCCTGCTATAATTAGCACATTTCCTATTTCTCCAGCTCTTCTAAGGCAGGAGAAGGGCTCACCTAAGAATAGGGGGTTGATTATCTGGGCAAAAGGGAGGTTGGGAGACCTGCTGGGAGGCACCTGTCGTGGCTCAGAATCCCTGTTTCCTCTGATGCCAGAGGATGGGGGGGTGGGAGTGAGAGAGAGAGAGTTCATGGAGGAGACCAGGGAAAAGATAGGGGGTTGGAAAGGCACTTCAGAGGATGGAGCCATCCTGAGCTGATGGGAGAAGACAGGTAGCTGACAGGAGAGGGGGGCTGTGTTCGGCATGGCGCAGGCTGGTCAGGAAAGAGCCGGCAGGAGGGAACTGGCCATCCACTCCAACACCAAAGGGACCCAGTTGGTTCCTTCCCCACACTCTCTGGAGTCTGACCCTGGTTCCAGGGTTAGGGCGGAATCCAAACTAGTGGGCACAGCCTGGGAATTCCCTCCTTATGTGACACCTTCTTGCCCCCCTGGCCCTACCGAGCATGACGGCCTGCCTCTCGGTCTTCCACTGGAGCTGTCCCTTGACCCATACTAGTGGACTGACCAGCAGGAAGCGGGGGAGGCCGGGGCATGCCAGGAGCGGTGCACAGGACGCAGCCTGTCGCTCCTGGGGATAACTGAGAGCTGGGGCCACCCTGCGCACCAAGGAGAAATGGGATGAGAGGGCTGGGGACGCAGAAAGGAACAAGGAGGAAAGATGTGCCACCACGGTGGCGGAGCCAGACTTACCTGCCGAAAACCATTCCTGGTGAACTGTAAGATTTTCAAGGCATAGTTGGACCTCTGGCCTTTGCTGTTGAATTCAATGTGGCCGGTGAGACCTTCCAATTCTACCTGTCCAAGAGAGAGCGACTTACAGCACCAAACAGGCCCCAGGGCCCACCTGGCTCCGAGCACCCCACACCAGTGCCGTTCAAGGATGCCCGAGGGACAGCAGGCCATCAAGGTACATCCTCCTGCCTGTCTCTCAGTCACGGGATCTCATAATTACGAGTGTGATGTCTTCGGGATGAATTCACACTTGGCTGGGGCCAGGGGAGGAGAAGGATGCCCCACACCCAGTGACCTCGCAGCCACGGCATGAACCAACACAATGCCAAGGTGGAAGCCTGAACTCGGATCCTCCCGTGTCCCTCCTCCAGGCTGTTGGCTGTAGATAGACTCTTTCCTCTTTGGGCAGCTGCTCACCCACCTTCAGGTCCTCAGGAAGTCAGGAGGACCTGACCCGAAATGCAAAACCCAAGCTACTCTGCACCAGGTGTCTTCTTGGTGGGCTAGAGATCCGTGTCCATCCCCCCAGAGGAGATGTGGCTGGGAAAGCCAGCACTAAGCCATGCCTCCCCGGTGGGGCTGTAGGGCTCAGGGAACACTGTGACCCACATGCACTGAATGGGGTCACCGCAGGTGGCTGTTCTATCTGGGACGGTGATACACCGAGGAGGCTTGGGGGTGTGGGGCCTTGAACATAGCACCCCGTCCCTCCCCTGCAGGGCCCCGGCCGCCCCTCACCATGCGCAGGTAGTTCATGAGGCTCGTGCCATGTTGCCAGATCTGGGCCGAGCCACAGGACAGGGGCTTCACGCCGATCTCCTGGCTCCGGTTGAGCTCCTGTACTGCGGTCACCACAGCATAGACGGCGTCAAACAGCAAGGCTGAGGACAGCTGGGAGAGGGCAGACGGTGGGCAGGAGGCCCAGAGCGAGGGAGGGTGGGAGGGATGGGTGGGAAGGGGGAGGGGAAGGGAAAGGAGGAAGAGAAGACGGGAGGAGGATGAGAGAAAAGAGAAAGAAGGAATAAGGGTTCTTTTTTGGTGCCCATGGCCTACCGCCTCTCACTGGGCCAGCTCTGCTTCGCTCAAGGGTCTAGGTGCTTGCCCAAGGCAGACAGTGGTGGCCAAGGCTTCTCTGGGATTGGACCATCCAGCTGTCCCTTTGGGCCCAAAATGATTTCAAGGATATCCTTTGCTCTCGTTGCTCCAGGGAGGTAGCGACTTCCATTGCTCTCAGAAATCCCCAAGAAGGACACAGGGCTGCCTATCTCGGGAAGAAGGAAAGAGCCTGGAAGCTGCCTTTGGATTTGCCCATTCTACAACGCTCAACCAAAGGTCACTTCCTCCTAGAAGAGCCCATGATACTGGACATACCTACTATCAGTCTACTTCTTTGTACTACTCAGTGCCGTAAGACCGGTACTTACGAAGTACATGGTGAGTTCAAAGCCTGAAGATGAGCAAGACCCTATTCCCACAATAGATTATAGTGGAATGGAGAGGGTGTATGGGGACAAAGGACCCAAACAGGGGTAATGTGAAACTGCGTGAGGGGACACGCAAAGGTCTGGGGGGGTCCAAAGAGAAAGATCCTGTCTTGGTGATCAAGAAAACGTTTCTGGGAGCACCTGGGTGGCTCAGTCAATTAAGTGTCTGTCTTCAGCTCAGGTCATGATCTCAGAGTCCTGGGATCAGGCCTCCCTGCTCAGCGGGGAGCCTGCTTCTCCCTCCCCCTCTGCTGCTCCCCCTGCTTGTGCTCTCTGTTAAATAAATAAATAAAATCTTGAGAAAAAAAAAAAAAAGAAGAAGAAGAAAATGTTTCTTGGAGGACCCAGCATGGGAACTGAGCACTGAAGGATTTTGGTAGAAACATCATTGGATCTGGGAGGGGGAGCGGCTGGGGAAGGGGAAAGACGCTTCAGAGGTGGAACTGCACATGCAAAGGGGTGGAGACTGTGGTGCAAGCTTGGCAGGGGGCAGGGGGCGATAGGAGGGGAAGAAGCAACAAACTAGAAATGCAGGAGGGAGTCAGAGTCCCGGGAAGAAGCCAGTGTGGTTTGTTCATATTTTCATCTCCCTATTAAATTGCAAGCTCTTAGAACACGAACACACAGGGCGGTCATCTCTACATGCTGCACAGTATCTAACTGGGACCTGGCATGTGGTAGGCTCCCCCCAAGACATATTTTTAGAATTGAATTAAATTTGGGGTGTAATCTGCCCACTGAGGCTCAGCGGAGCACTACCCAATGAGTTAACTGGACATGTGTGGCTTTGGGTAGGGGCAGGAAAGCAGAAGATGCCTGCTCCGGGGAGTGTGTCATCTAAGGAGGTGGTGGCACTATGCAGTACACATAAAGCCCCTGACAAGAAAAACCTACTGAATGTAAATAAAAATAGGGTCAAACCATACAGGGGCCCTAAGGGGAGGCCCTGTGGGGACAGTGATGTTGGGGTCTGGAAGTCCACACACCACCTCATCACAAAGCAAGTTCCTTCACAGAAGTAGGACATTCACCATTGGCAACTCAATACCGTCCCCCCGGATGATGCCCCCACCCCCACCCCGTGACTTCTTACAGCCTCCTCCTACCTGGCCAGGCCCTGGAAGACTGAGCCCTCCAAGGCAGGGGAAATCATCTAGTTGGATTTTTTTTTTTTCAAGGTCTCAAGACAGAGTGTAAGCATCTTGAGACAAGAGGTGTCAGAAAAAGAGCTTGAAACCGGAAGAACTAAACCCAGAGTCTGGATCCTAGCCCTCACTCATGTGCTGAGTGATCCCGAGCACGCTGTGGAGCCTTGGAGAGAACAACAGTCTCCTGTAAACAGGTCTGTAACGTGCTCTGCAAACTGCACACCCCCTGGGTGCGGGCAGGTGTCAGCTCGGGAAGCAGGTGCTTCCAAGGCGACGGGGAGTAGCATGAGCAGGGAGCTCAAGGCAGGAGACAGGCTGGGAAGTGTGCTTATTCCCTCTGCAGCCCAGCTAGCTACCTGTTGGGCCAGGTGTCCTGTGGCAGCGACTTGGGGTGGGGTTGGGGGGCTGGTTCTGGATCATCTTTCTAAAAGGCAGTTACAGGGGAGATAGCCCAAGAGAGTTTCCCAGCCCCAATCCGCGTTCCCTTGCAAAACTGCCTGCTCGAATGTTGGTTCTTCCTCCTTCTTTCCCTCTGCCAATCCCTCTCCTGGTCCTCCTTTTCTTCCTTCCACCTGCTTCTTTTCTTTCCTCCCACATTTATTCAGTTCCTACCATGTGGCAGCACCACAGACCTCGACATGGCCCGATCTCCTCGGAGACATCCCCGCAGGCAGAAGTCCGAGGGCCCTGGGCCTGTCCGTGCTGGGCCCTCTTCCCTTTCAGCTCCATCACCCCTCCTTTCTGTGCCCTGGTCCCAAAAGCACCCAGGTGGGGACACTAAACGATGGGGACCAGGAGTAAGCTCTGCAGGGCGGCTGAGCCACACTGGCCAGCCGCCTCCCCGAGGCCCTCCCGCCCATCACCTTCTGCTCGCTCAGCTCCTTCTGCATTGATTCCAGGCTCACCTGCATGGTGCTCGATGCTTCTCGGTGAGCCTACAATTGTCCTTGTCCTCTGCACATAATTCATTTTCCCCTGCGCACATGTGGCTCCTTTATTAATGGAACTCTCACGTTTCCTTGCCAAAAGGACATATGGAAATGATCAATGCTATAGACTCTCCCTTTCCAGCTTAGACGAACGTTGACCTGAGGCGAGGGCTGGTTAGCGCTGCTGCCACCGGCCCCTCCATCCTTCCGTCTGGCTATCTAAAGCATACGGTGAACTCATTTCTGTCCTACCTTCTCCTTTGTCTCCCAGCTCATCTGTCCCTTCAGAGAGTCTCAAAATCTCTTGCCTGTTAGACTGCAAAGGATCCTAGAATTCAAGGAGTCCAACTCTCTTATTTTACCAATGGCGAAACCGAGGTTGGAAGAATTCACCTCCTGCCCAAAGTCACCGAGCAATACAGAAGCCAGGACAGGACCAGGAGCCCCAGGACCCTTGCTCCAGGCTGGTTTCCTCCTGTCTCTGCAGCACTGTCTTTCCATCTTCTTGAGAAGCTGGCGGTGAATCACTGCTCTTGTCAGATTTATTCTTGGGCCCAGCCTCCCGGGACAACCTGGGCATCTTCTAGATGTTGTCATCTTCCCAACAGCAGCCAGGAGCATGAGACTCTTGGGCCAGGGCTGGGGTCGGGGAAGGGTAGTGGGCAGGCCTCTCTCTTGTCCTGGGTTTGGCCATCACCCACCTTGCCTCTTGGTCTGCCTGGTTGGTCCTCACGCTAGCCTCTCAGTCAAGAGAAATTTTGTTGCAACGGGACATATAAGGGCAGGACAGAGGAGTGGTGTGAGGGGATCAACAGTTACCTACCTAGCACCTCTTCTCCCCTTCTTCCTCCCCAACAGAACCCCCATTTGGTTCGAGTATCCTCCATCCCCCAAGCAGCCATGTGCTTCAGTACTGGCTAACCCAGCCCCAGCTCTCAAGAGATCCTGAGTGGTCCAGGAGTCATCCCATCCTCCCAACAATATGGGATTCGGGAATGGGCAAGCGGCACCATTCTGACCAATGAGACATGAATGGAGACCACGAGTGAGGGGTCAGTTCTGAGAAAAGCTTCCTGTCTCTGAGAGAGGCAGTTCTTCCTCCTTCTCTCACCACCACTGCCACTGTTAGGACATGATGCCTGGACCTGCGGCAGCCAGCCTGGCTCCAGCCTGAGGATAGAGCTGACACCAGGGGGGGCAGAGAGGAATGGAAACGAACCTCTGTCCAGAGTCTGCTCTCCCTCTCGACTTGCTGTGACATGAGGTGACACGTTTCCCTTTTCTGCAGAAGGCAGTTTGATATAAGATTTCCACTGCTGGAAGCTGAATGTGCCCTCATCAGTACGAAGGCCCTAGGGACCCCCTTCCTTCGAGGGCATGGCTGCCCCAGGCCCACTTAACCCCCTCTAGAGGCCCTTCTTCTCAGGAGGCTGTCTGTCGGCCCGAGAGACCCCGGTCCGCACAGACTGGCAGACGCTGCTCACCACGCCATTTCTCACACCCTCCCACCAGGCCCCAGGCTCCTTCCTGCCACACACTTGTTGTTCCCACTCGTCTGGGATGTGGTTTTCTTGGCTGATGTCCTCTTATTAGCAAATGATCCGGATGCCAGGAGAGCAGTGTGTGCCTGTTTGCAGTGTTCCTTGGCATCTCGTACTCTGGGACCTTCAAGATTCTTCTAGGCTTCTAATAATTACAGCCCAGAGAGGGACCCTGGGGGGCAGGGGTGGGTGGGAGGGACAACTTCAAGGTTCCTGTCTCCTCTCCATCTGCACAGTGCCTTCGGTGACGGTCCCCCAGGGAGCTCTGGGCTTCACGGGTCCTGTCTGTGGCTCAGCCTGGGCCCATTGTAGCCGAAACCTCCTAAGCCCCAAACACCATCCCCCCTAGTTGGGCCTCCTCAGGGTCCTCCCTGCATAACCAGACTGCCCCTCTCTCGCAGGCTCCTGGCACCACGCCTGGGCCTCTCCCTTGGGTGCTTCAACTGCTTCTTTGAGTCCCAGCTGCCCGCCCCCAAGCTCCTTATCGGCCCCCAGATGCCAATCTCGGCTCAGCCAATTGCACCTCTGGCGGGAGAGCCTGTAATCTCTGCCTCGTCAACTGTTCATCTCACGGCAGATCTCCATCCCAAAGCCGCCTGCTGTTCTCTCCTACCTGCTTTCTCCTTCTGTTATCATTTACTAACTCAGCTCTGGCAAGCACTGGGGATTGCAGTTGGGGAAGAGCAGCTCTGATACCAAAACAGCGCTCCGTCTGCCTCTTGAGTCTGGCTGGAGCGTCCCCTCCGTCCCCGCTCCTTCTAGTCTTCCATCCCACCGCCCTTCCCTTCA